GATGGCGCTGGACCTACTAATTTTCAATTCTAATATTATTTCATCTGTGTTTTATTATTATTATTATTGTTCTCTAGGGTTCCTAGTGGAACATAGAGCTTCAGCTGCACATCTCCACTTGATTCTGTCTTCTGCTGTACATTTCACCTGCATCCATGTTAGTCCATACTGTATCAACTCCTCTTCAGATGATCTCCTCCATGTCACCCTTGGACGTCCCACTCGCCGTTTCCCCTTCGGGTTCCACTCAAGGGCCTGATGCGCGATGTCACGCAGTGGAGTTTGAAAGAGCAATATAGATTGGTAGAGCAAAAAGATGATCACTGAATCTTAGTTCCCCGAATCAATACTGAACACTTGCTATAGGAATAATGCAACACCTATGTCACAGATATGCAAAATATTATTAACAATGAAATGAAAGTATGAGGAATAATACGAATGCATAAACACAATCACAGATAGGCTGTTTAATCATGCTGATATGATCATGGACAGTGATTTGTGCTCGAAAGTTGATTATCGTTCATAAATAATAGTCAGTCGTTGCGTACTTAAGGAAATAGAATTATTCCCTTGCTTGACAGATCAATGGCAGAATGGCTACCAGCCATGGGAGGTGTTCAGGTAGGTATTACAACCAATGAGCTCCTATACCTTGCCTAGTTTCTTAGCTGCCAAAAGCCGACCAAGGAATTAAGGAAGATTGGGCTTGAGACCAGTGACTGATGCTTTGAACAGCTTTTACGCACCCAACTCCTACTCGTAACAGAACGGGTGAAAACAAATTCATCGATCGAGTAACATATTAGAATCGAAAAACACAAAAAAACCTGTTTTCTCCCACCATTCAAAACAGCCTACAATTACGCTTAATATACAAGTGATTTTATCACAAAACCACAACATAATTCAACATAAAAACATCAATAAAATTACAAAGGGTATAAATTTGCTTCGGTAAATAAAATTCCAGTGAACAGTTTCATTTCAAGTGGTTTTTCACATAGAATCCTCATAGAATGTTCACATGTTAAGTCAACACAATTTCATTGAGTGAATTTTGTGTGGTTTATTGACACACCACTGAATGCATTTATAGAAATATGATATGGCTGGAATTCGCTGTGTATTAGAAAGTTACTAAAAGTAGGTAGTCATGCGAAGCCGAATATTACGCAAATCATTAATTGAGTTACTATAAACATGTCAACTAAAAACACCACCAAAAGACCTCCTTGAATAAGGGAGATCTGTGAGTATGTCCTAATCTAATTCATTTTCATGAGAAAGAATATTTCTGTCAGAGAAGAATGTCAATCAGAGGAATAGTATCTAAAATTATATATATATATATCATTTACAGATTTATTAAATCTGTAGAAAGTAAAGCGTGTAACGGAATGATTGTTTGGGAGGAAAATCTCTCCTGAACGATACAGTCACATTATTGATTTGATTTGATTTATTTTTTTATTTTATTACGGCTTGATGCCACACCGTATTTTCAGTACAAGTATGGCATTTTTAGCCCAAATTTAGCAGGCCTACCATAGATATCAGGTGTGCGTCGGCGTGGGATAAAACCTCGTACCATGTACATGGTCGGCGAGAGCCCTAACCACTGTGCCACCGACGCACACCAAGTCTCAGCCAACCTTTATTATCATCTGCTTTCCTCCTAGACAGTTTATCACCTGGGTTCGAACCCCGGTGGATGCGTACTGACGAAGAGTCCCAAACTAGGATGAACAGCTGTCCAGTACTCCCAGGTTTTCCAATGGTTCTCTAACCAATGTCAGCTCATAATGAAATCCTGTAAACAGATTATTATTGTTTTGACAATTGCCTATCACATGTTGATTCGATCCTTATTATTTCTCTTCGTCACTGTTAAATCTCTGATTTTAACACGCCCCGTTTTGGTTGTGTGCACAATGATGAGGTGTTGTTTCTAAATGCGACTGTGTTTGAGTTTTCAATCCCATCGAGTTGCAACTGTTCCGCTGGATTTTAAGGTGATTCTAACATGTGAATTTCAGTCGACTGATATTGTTTTGCAGTACTTAGTTCGGGCTGAAACATCAGCATTGCCAATATAAGTGTCTATTAGCATTGTTGAGGCAGTTTTAAGTCTTTGTTGTCTTTATTATTATTGCTGTTGTTGTTGAATATAATCACACACAGATTTTAATCACAAATAGTCGTGCTTTCGCTGCATTCAGGGCATTTTGTGACCGTGCTCTCCTCAAGGAAATTACCAAAAGTATCGAGTTCGACGCAAGAATACGTTCTTCGCTTTTAGACAACAACTAGTCAGCATTGGTCGCTAAAAAGATGGTTTCATAGATGTTGAATTTTCCAGGCTTACATTACAGTGCACATCAATAAAGTTTGAATTCTCATACAATAACTTAGTGAAACATAAGTGATTTTGAAAATAACCACAACTCGAAACAGGTATGAACTAACTAACCTTTTTTGTACTAGTAAATAAACCATTTTATCCCTCCTTATTTCAACAAGCTTTATTGTCACTGTTCTTCTTATATTTTTAATCCCCTCAATATTTTGATTTTATTTTTCATTTCCCATAAGTGTGAACATCATTTAAGCTGTGTTATAACTGTTAATTTTGTATTTCCTCTCACCATACTATATCAACAGAACATTAGATTCAGTATTATATAACATGTTGAAATGTTCAAAGTGAATCAACAATACTGTTTGAAACAAACTCATTCTTATTACTATTATTATCATTATTACTACATGATTAGTGTCATTTTGTACTTTGAATGCTTTTGACTTTATATCTTAAATGTGAACAAATTCCTCAGTATAATTATTTTTTTCATGTTACTTTTATTTTAGGTAAATCAGATGCAATACTGAGACAAACGCTGTGAATTCTATTCTGTATTATACGTACTGTTTTTTAAAACAAAAAGGATTATTATTATTAAATTATTTGTTCAAATTTATCCACGGCTAAATATTTCAGTTTAAATTGAACACACTTACGGTGATGATATCGATGTGCGTGTGGAAATCATCGATCTTGTCCATGTTTATTATTTTTAGCCAACGATAATTAACACTGAATAGGGACTGGAGATCAACGGAATGTTGTTTTAAGTTCTTCAGTGTGGCGTTGACTGTGTGGTCACGTGAGTTTCACAACTGAAATATATTTTGATATTTGTGTGATTCCTTTGAACTGAAGCATCGAAGCAGAAGATTCACGTTCCAGGAATCGTCTTGATCAGCAAACTCCATTTCTGAATTATCTTCATATCAACTGGACCGTTATCCACTGCTGTGTTGGCATCATGACTGAATGTTATTAACAAATCCATCTACCGAAGGGACTGTTACAGACAGTGTAGTCTTGAAAGATTCGCTAGTGGGGATTTCTGAGTTTATGAGCAACTCAATATTTGGGTTTGTCATTCGAGAAATTTGTGCAAACTGGAAGTATTCAATATCTCCGTCACCACCTTAGTTTTCTGATAACTTCGAATGGCACTGAGAGGAACACACGATATGGTTTAGACATCGTGATCACGAATATCGCTTGTCTCAGCCAACAATGAACACAACATCTACTAGATTAGCGAGCTTTCGACACTTAAGTGAGTAGGCACAAAGGAGTAGAACGGAAAGCATCTCTAAGATTCGCAATCATATATATGTACATATAAATATATATATATATATATTCATAGTGAAGATGGAAACATAATGTATATATGAAGCAATGAATAAGGTGTGATGAAAACGCCTAATGCATCAGTTGTCTTTCTAGCTGCTCATTTGACAACTTACTTGCCCATTTTTCAAAGAAGCCCTCCACCCTCATATCACTTATTATCCGACCATTTTTATGGTCGCTAAAAAGATGGTTTCATAGATGTTGAATTTTCCAGGCTTACATTACAGCGCAAATCAATAAAGTTTGAATTCTCATACAGTGACTTAGTGAAACATAAGTGATTTTGAAAATAATCACAACTCGACACAGAATACTCAAGCATGTCTCAGTAGTAATTACAATGGCATATCTGTAGAAATTGATGTTGTAAACAAGTAGGTGATTCACAGCATGCCTAATTGTAGAAAAAGAAATGTTACATATTTCGTCGTTGGTAACAGGGCTGTTGGTATGTCACTTGATGAGCTGTCAATTAGAGTATTTGATAACAGCATGAATGATAAATAGATAGACAGATTTTCTACTCTTTCACATGTGGATATCGAAATTCGACTGCAATAAACTCATATATTTTTAGTAATTTCGCCTCAGTCAAATAAGATACTCACACTATTTCCAACTGCGTATATCATTCCTCATAGACTGATACTGTGTACAACTGACTAACTCATATAAGTAGTTAGAAACAGCCACAGTAACAACAAACTGAGTGACAGCAGCAATCGCAGCTTCATTCAGATAAGAGCATTTAGACGCAGAAAAAACAGGCTATACCATTTTGTGATCTGTGAATTGACAGCTGTCATCATCTCACAATCACCTACGCATATTTGCACTACACACTTTAACACAATTATTGACATTCGTGTCTTTTATTTGCTATTTTACATTTATTTGCACAAGATTGTAAAGCATTGTATCTCATATAATAATTATTGCAAACATTTAGAAAATGGCGAAGAGAAGCTTCTTTTCGACGAATTCATCAATTGAGCTGTGCATTAGTGCATATATAGTAAAAAGGTTAGAAATCACCAAAACAATTTCCAGTTAACCTTGGAATTATCATGATTACGAATAGGGATTAAAGATATACCATTCATGGAAAATATACAGAAGGTTTGGATAAAAATCACACTGACATCATCATTTTCCAGTGAATTGATTTTTTCGCGATAAGTGACTCAAAAGATAGTAATAACAAACCAGACAGGATGTTCAGATAAATAACATAGTAGTGAGAACAAATGAAAAATACTTAGTAGTAACAGAATAAACAGAAAGGTCAAGCAAGAAACGGGCTAAGATAATCATCATTGAGAGAAGTGGCTGTGAAAGATGATGATGATGATGATGATGATGATGATGATGATGATGATGATGATGATGATGATGATGATGATGATGATGATGATGATGATGATGATGATGATGATGATGATGATGATGATGATGATGATGATGATGATGATGATGATGATGATGATGATGATGATGATGATGATGATGATGATGATGATGATGATGATGATGATGATGATGATGATGATGATGATGATGATGATGATGATGATGATGATGATGATGATGATGATGATGATGATGATGATGATGATGATGATGATGATGATGATGATGATGATGATGATGATGATGATGATGATGATGATGATGATGATGATGATGATAGTAAACGCAAAGATTGGAAGTATTTCATTTGAACACGCAGCGTGAGTTTGAACCTTTGGATCACCAGTGTCTCAGCTATGACTAGAAATCTTGGTCTCAATCCATCTGAGAATTTCCATCGGATATTGTATAGGACTTTGAATAACACTTTGAATGGCTTAACACGATCTGAATTTTCATCACAAATATTGACAATATCACCTCCCGAAGAGACGACACTCACTGATTGCTTACAATGAGAAATTTGTTTTCTCACTCAGGTATAAAGTCAATTTTTATTAACTAGTAATGATGATTCTACTATTTTTGAATCTAATCTTCCTATCTAATCGGTTGATACTAGGTATTATATCCCAATTTGTAATCTGGGCTATTTTCCCCACAACCAGAAATAGTTCTGAAAATTTCCTATTCACTGACTAGACACAGGCGAATGTGTAGCCCAGTCGATCACTTCATCGTGAAGAAAACTGTCACCGGTACAGGCGTCTTTTTAATTTTTCCAATAATTTTTATGTAGATTTCTATTTTTAGAATTTCGTCAGTACATTAATTTACAACAGCATGCATATAAACTGAAAATTGAGGGCCAATAATACTACACTTAATAATCCCCTTATGGTTAATAGTTAAAATATGCGAATTTGTCTGCTGCATATTATTAGCAGCTTTCAATTTTGAGATCATGGCGTTTAATCGCTATTTGTTTCCTGTCATTCAATTTTCATAGAACACCTGTGGTACATTGGTATAAGTGATTTTTTTCAAATATTGAATCGTATGAGCATAAGTTTTAATGAAATTACTTGTGGTTGGTCGTTCGGTCTTCTGTGTTTGTGTGCCAAGGTGACTTCAGCCTACATGAATCAATCATCTGCACTCAATGAATTGCCTATCAACAGGCGGTACCTAGTTATTTAGATCAAAAATACACCATTAGTTATCTTTCCAGACCTTTAAGCCCACTGTTTTATGGGATAGTATTTTCGCAGTAGACAAATGTAGAATTGTGCGGAGAATAAAGAACTAGTAGAATAATCATAACCTGCAATACTAAGTTCACAAGAAAATAATTTTTGACGCGAACAATTGTTTTTAATAACTTATTCAGGCTCTGCTGTTAGGTATCAATGAATAGGCAAGAACAACAACAACATAAAACGATCAGCATAAATGGGAGGATTCTGAAAGAAAACAACCTCCTTTACCTACCTGAGAAGCATCGTTTCAACTACAGGCAGGCGGAACTGACGAGGATATCAAAGCAAGAATCGGGAAAGCAAGACAAGCTTTCACTACTCGCAAGTCTGTGTGGAGGTCAACAACTCTCAGCATCAAAAATAAGATCCGGATTTTCAACTCCTATGTGAAGTCGGTCAGTGCTACTTACTATACGGATCAGAAAATTGCACTGCACGTCATAAAGAGCATCTCAAACAAACTACAGACCTTCATTAGCAGTTGTCTTCGCTCAATAGTCAAGATCAGATGGCCAGAAAAGATCAGCGACAGAGATCTCTGGGAGCAAACCCACTAGGAACCGATTGTGAAACAAATAGGCAGGAAGAAATGGAGATGGATTGGCTAGCCATACTCTGAGGAAACAAGCCATCAAGTGAGTGACATCACTAGACAAGCCAGTGCTCGAGTGGAACCCGACATAATGGGAAGCGGCGAGTTGGTCGTCAGTGCAAGGGTTACTTGGAGGAGGTCATGTGAAGAGGAGATGAAAACGTGTGGGCAGACTTGGAGCCAGGTGAAGACTCTAGCAGAGAACCGAACGCAATGGAGACGCACGGCTGAAGCCCTATGTTCCTCTAGGAATTAAAGAAAACAATAATATATTGATAATAATAATCCAGCATTTAGTTCAGAACACGATGATACCACCATTTGTTTCGTCAGTTTGTCGTCAGCTGCTTCCATTCTAGATATATTATTAAGTTTATATGCAGAAACAACATCACATATTTGCAATGGTCACATGATATCAGTCTGCATATAACCAAAAATGAGTTAGGCATTAGAGACAAGAGGTGAGTAAGATGATGAGTTCCAAATAAACTGAGTAACAAAACATTGAGTTCCTTCTGTTCTCTGTAAGTAACTGCTCCTGTAGATGCTTATTGACGCAAAGAAGCGTCGGCAGATTCCTTTTTCATATTTACTGTCTGTATACGAATTAAGATAAATCTATGGGAGCAGATATATCAGGAAAACAGGAATAAAGGACAGCTTCGATTTTCTGAAGATTTACCAAAATGCCTACATCTCAAGTGGACAAAAGCTTTCTACAGTGTCATTGCTAGGCATCTTCTTGACATGGGTCATTAGAAGGACATCCTAACATCTCAAAAAACTTTTAGTAGACAGACTTCCCCAATCCTCCTCAAGTTTGCTGAGGCAATCTTTATCAAACGCCTGAAAGCCGAATGTCGGGTTCAGAAAGAAGCAGTTATCAGTCTTTACTTGCCCTAGTAACTAGATGTCTTGGTTCCACCTTCCATTTGATTACATAATCTGTGGCTTTAACCACCACCTTTGATGACGAAAGCTGAGCGAATTTGTATAGATCGGGACTCTCTGAAATCATCCTTAACTGACTCGTGGGTGGGAGAGCTATATAATGATAGCGCCATGAATTACTCACCATATTGACGTTTATCGATTCTGTGGTAGCAGTCACAACACAGTGAGAAATCTTTTGTTACACCATCATCAAGCTACATAAAATTTCACAACTCTTCTAGCAGTTTATGTTCGAAAGTGGGCTTCGGCATACACACACAGTAGTTTGTTTTACAAACCAGTTACCATGCGATCGATATGCAGCTTTATTCCTGAAATAAATTTCATTATAATCAATGCACCAATTGTGATAGAATGCCCAGGGTTGACAAAATATTCGATTATCTCACAATTTTGTAGAGCCACAACTAGTACCTCTGTGAAATCGTGTGGTGGGATAGTGTTCTGCAATCCTTTAAGATAGGATATACGTCATATGACCAGTATATCTAGTGGCTCTACGGCAACAGGTTAACTGATATGTACACATATGAGTGATCAGATTATCTTAAAAAGGCCTAGACGTATACTACTCTAAACAGGGCTTGACCGTTTCCCTTCGACCCATTTCAAAAAACAAGGAAGATAATAAAGAGAGGCTGTACAAGTCTAAAAACGATGGATATCTTGAATAAATCAGAAATTCAATGGCTGGATACTCTTTATAATCAACTATTCTTATCTTGTAAAACTCCCGGAAACATGTGGAAACGTTTCAGTTAAATTACAGATTGTGGAGAGCAGAGTATTAATCTCCCCTTTGTTGATGTAAATATTCTCAAAATATCTTTCATACGTTCACCTAATGGTGCTTTTTCCCTCAAATATAAGCAATAACAAGGTGAGTGACTTTCATAATTTTAACACTTTTGGTGCTCTTAAATGTTTGAAATGTCTAAAACCTTCCTTGAACTCAGGTCCATATAGTATACCTGCTGTTGTTCCCGGGAGATGTGTTGATATTTTAAATAACCCACTGACAAACATATTCAGTACTTCTCTCTTAAACAGTGTTGTACCACCTGCATTGAAAGACAATAAAATCACCAATATACCCATAACAGGTTCTGGTAACAATGTTAAATTTAGACATATGGCAACTTTCCCCCTCATTTTTTGAAATTAATGGCGAAATTACTCTTACTCAACCTTGTAATCTCTTTAAAAACTTGTAGTGGTCACAAACAGTTTGCTAATATAGGCAGGACAGAAGTACCTTAGATGCTGCCGCTGTATTAAATCGTAACATTGACGAAGGGACCAAATATGTAAGTTGTACCTTCTCCGATTGCACACCCACTTTCGACTCAGTGCCTAGATGCCTATTGCTGAATAAGCTCGCCCTCACAAAATCTGAGTTCTGGGCTGTTAACTGGTCGCATTCTCATTAATCTAATAGAATGTGGTGCATGGAGGATGAATCGTCCTCTACCTTGCTTATTGTATCTGGTGCTTTTCAGGGCGCTTCTCTGTCTGTTTTTCTCTTTTTTTTCTTCTTACGTGACTTACCACTTCCGAAGGAAGTCAACCTCGTCAAATTTTTCATGATCCGACCATCTCGCTTCTTGTTAAGTCCCAATCGGACCGCTGTAAACTTACTAGCTTTTTGTTGCACATCTGTCAGTGGTCTTAGCTGAATGGTCTTAGGTTAAATCCTTCAAAATACCAGACTATTGTCATGTCCTTTATAAATAGACGTCATGTACAACAACTGGTCATTACACATGATGCTTGTAGCATTGGGAGAATTGTAACAGAAACTAAGCACAGCAGAAAATACCTTCGTGTAGTTTTATTTTCCGATCTTACTTGGTCGATCTCCAAGAACATGTGCCATCTAAGACCCTACATTGAGACGCTAAAACAATCGGGATTCACTCAAACCCTGCTATTACAATTTGCAAACTAGCGTTTCTCATCTAGTGTCCTCCACTGCCCCCTTTAGTCTTTCCTGGACTACTAAAAAGGGCGAGGACATTTTGAGAAGGGGAAGACATTCAGCGAAGAGACTCTTTTCGGCGAATTCATTCACATAGCTGTACAATCGCATTTATATACAAATATTTGTGTGTGTGTGTACATGAGGTTTGTCAAGTTTAGATAATTGTTAGTTAATACAAGAATGATGTAGTATAGAGACAAAGTTAATCAGACAGCAACTAAAGTAGGACTGAGTTAAAAAACTAGATGACGTAATATAATTGGCTAAAATGTTACAACTTAGGTCAGGATAGCAACAGAGGTAATTACAGGTAGAGATTAAGTAGAAGTGAAATTGAGTCAATAAGTTGGATGACGTAACATGAATGACTAGAAACTGAGCGTTGTTCAAGTCAGTAACAGTGGTAGTGGGGTGTAGAGATTGAATCGGGTGGGGGTAGAGAACAAGAAAATTGAAAATGTAAAATGTAACAATTGAGAAGGCAAAATAATACTAATGAAGAGACAGAAGAAAAGATT